GGTGAAGAATTAGCACCTGGAAAAGACTGCCAGTCCGATGCAGATATCGATGAATTTGTGAAGTAAGATCACTTCTGTTATTTACAGGTTGCACCCATCTTTTTTGATCGTTCTCATTCACTTTTTATGCCCTCTTAATCTTTTCATCAAGGCACAAGTCTGCTTCGGCCTATCACCCCTCAGGAACATGTAAAATGGGCTCTGAAAACGACAGAATGGCCGTGGTGAATCCAGAAACGTTGACTGTTTATGGAACTGAAAATCTGAAGGTAAATGGAGCTCAGATAATCACTTCCCTCTGCTGTATCAAAAATTGGAATTTAGGTAGTTGATGCTAGCATCATGCCATCAATAGTCAGCGGGAATTTGAATGCGCCTGTGATTATGATGGCGGAAAGAGCCGCTGATCTTATGCAGGGAAAACAATTACCACCTGAAAAAGTGCCTGTTTGGACTCATAAGTCGAAATAATTTGTTTTGGTATTACCTGCAGCTGTTTCTCTTTTCAAAAAATTTCCTTCATTTGTGTTTAAGTAGACCCATTTCCGATACATCTTATGTTCGTTTCGTCTGAATCTCCAGAAACTTAATGTACCTCTTTGTCGGGTTTAAGAGTTTAAAAAAACTCAAATAGATAATTTGAAGTAGAGCTAATAATGCGCAGCTAAGTCTTTCTTCATGTCATGGCGGTAATATTGCTGTTCCTGTTTTGTTGCTCATTTTTGTCCCTTTTTGCTTGAGACGATTGGAAATATGAAATATTGTTTGGAATGCGATGTAATGTTGAACTAGGGATCTGTTTGTTAATATGTGCACTTTTGAATTATGCATCTTCAAGTCTAAGTTTATGCCGAATTGTTGTGTTACAGTTGTGGTAACAAATTTTATCTGTTAATATCCTGAACTGTTGCGTGTTAAGATTGTGTCTTAGATGATTGTGATAATGGTGATTCTAAAGTTATCGTTAAAACAGGTAGAGTCATAGTGTATTGTCTCCCACTATCCTTTTGTGCAAATGTAATCAGATGGTGGAATGGTGTGACCATATAAATAAAAATTCTATCGTTTTTTAACTCTTCATTCTTTTGAGCTGTTGACTTGCATTGTCTACCTTTTATTCTTATGATGTAGTAGTGAAACAACTGCATGATTTCAATTGTCGTTTAAGGGCTAATGACATTACCAAAGTTTGAATTTTGCGAAATAGCAGCGAACCCAAATGGGTGGGGACCAGCGGGTCCACCGCCCGCCTTGGACACATCCATTCCCTTCCAGCAGTATAACAAGGTAAATTTTGTAATCAACCCTAATTATTCATACCTTTAGTTCTTTTGTGACCTTCTTATCCGTTATTTATTCCTCTTTATTCCTCTACGCAAACTTCGGTGTAGGTTTTGA